TAGCACAGTGCTGGGGGCTGGGGCTGGGTCCAACCAGTTCTCCCAGTTCCTCAGCTCCCATCTCGGTGGTGTAATTAGTGCTAATTACCTAATTACCCTGCGGGCCCAGGCAGAGCCAGCCTGGGCCTGCCACCCACTGCCAGGGCCACCCAGGACCTCCTGGGCCACCTGCCAGCTTACCGTGGTGGGGGGGGCGGGACATGCCCCCCCCCCCCCCCATCCCTGTTCCCTGTCTCCTCACAGCCCTGGGAGCGCTGTGTCCAGGGTGGCCCTGGGTGACACAAGAGGTGGCAGTGCCATGGGTGACATGGTAGGTGGCCCTGGTTGACACGTGGGGTGGCAGCACCGTGGGTGGTAGTGCCCTGGGTGACACAAGGGGGTGGCAGTGCCCTGGGTGACCCGGGAGCGGGGTGGTGGTGGCCCTGGGTGACACATGGGCTGGCAGCAGCATGGGTGGCAGTGCCCTGGGTGACACAGGGGGTGGCTCAGGGGACACGGGTGACACAGGAGTGCTGTTGTCGGGTGCCAGTGGTGCCAGTTTCTTGGATGCGGTGGCTGTGGCCGTGCTCCAGCTGTTCCTGACATGGTTCAATGTCACCTCCATGGACATGGTGTCTTTCCAGACCCCATGGACCTGGCTGTGCCACCTAAACCTCCATGAACATCTTGGCTTGACCCCAAGGGCTGCATTGACCAGACCTCCACGGCCTTGTTGTGTAGACCCCAACAACGTGACAACCAACCCTCCATGGGCACAGGGGGCAGACCTCATTAGACCTCCATAGACATGTTAGGTAGACCCTGATGGATGCCTTGACTGTGCCTTCGTAAACACATCGATAGATCCCAGTGGATGTTGACTAGATCTCCATGGACATGTTGACCAGACCTCCAGGAACATGTTGACCAGACCTCCATGGACACGTTGACCAGACTTCCATGGACACATTGACCAGAGCTCCATGGACACGTTGACCAGAGCTCCATGGACATGTTGACCAGAGCTCCATGGACACGTTGATGAGAGTCCAATAGGCACTTTGACCAGCCCTCCATGGATGATGAACGAGCTGGAGTTGCCTGTGCTGGAGCCCAGTGTGGCAGCCCACCACAGCTGATGGCCACCAACGTGGGACCCTCCAAGTCAAACCTCCTTCATGGGATGCTGAAAGGTGGTTGAACCTTCCCGTGAAATGCTGAGCAAGAGCTGGAAGTCACCAGTGACCACCGTTGGCCCCAGCAGTGACGGGCAATTGCTCCTCCGCCTCCCTGGGGATTTGGACCTGGACCAAAACCTCTTTCCCCACCGTGGCGGCCAGACAAGGCCCACACCCTCCAACGCGCCGGGCCTCAGCCACGTGGGGGAAGAGGGAGGGTGACACCTTGCGCAAGGTGACCGGCGTCGCTCCCTGTCCCGCTCAGCCACGGGGGACGACACGTGATGGTCTGACCTCGTCAGGTCTCCTCTTGCACCGGGGAAGGCATCGAGGTGCTTCTGCAGCCCACCAACCCCGCCGCCACGTCCTGTAGACGTGCCATGGTGAAGCTGGGCTGGCACTGCTCTCCATCCCACCCCACCACCAAGATGGGACCATGATGACTCCATGCAGGGGAAAAATCCCACCCCCTCCTGCAAAATAGAGGCCTCAGCTCCATGTGAACAGGTAAATTTGGCCTCCAGCAGATGATTTCTTCCCGCTCGCGAGCCAGCGTGGCCTGGGTGGATGCTCCCCGTCGGGGAGGCAAAACAGCCCTGATCTGCTGCCAAGTTACCCCAGGTGGGGCAATTTGGCCCCTTCTGCTCCCGCTGAGTCACAGGAAATTTCTCCCCTCTGGGGACGGGAAGTCCTCCCCGGGTCACACGTTGGCCCATGGAGATGGGGCTGGGATGGAGGCACCAAGAAGGAGCGTCTGGCTCCGGGGCATCGCAAGGGTTTGTTGCTCTTACGGGGGGACACCAAGCTGGATTTTGTAACCCCACGACAGGGCCAACAGGGCAACCCCACGACAGGGCCAACAGGGCAACCCCACGACAGGGCCAACAGGGCTACGCCGAAGATGGTGAGCTGGGTCTTCTCCTGCCCCTCTGAGATCTGGGGCAACTCAGGGCACCTTGACCTCCCAGAGCTGTGCTCCACCCGTTAAAGACATGGTGAAAAGCCACGTCAAAAACCTTTATTCATCGACATCGCAGCAGGGCCCCGTGGTCAACCCCTGCCCCCCCATCCCCAGGGCATGCGCCCCAGTGCTCGGACCGGCCGGCTCTGGGGACCTTCATCAGGGAGGAGGAGCCGTGGGGTCCATCCCGTGGCCGCTGGGGCTGGGGATGGCGTGGGGACGGGGGGGCGGTTCCTAC